GAATGATGAATTGCAACTAGCCGCGGGTAAATACGCACGAATCGATGTATACTCCGTCGATTAGTGAAGAACTACTGACGAGTACCATGTCCGTCGATGAATTTTTAAGGTCCATTTCGCAGATCAAACCACTTTCCAGAAGGAAACCCTACGCTAAATTTCTTGCCGTGAGATTCACGTAGAAATAAATGAGGGTTTCTGGATAGAATACACTGTGACATCTCATAAACGGTTTCTTACGACTCATGATTTATGCACACCCTTCGGGGTTTCAATCAACTTTATGTTCTACTCGAACAAAAAGACTGCATGAAATTCGCCAATTACACTCATTTGCACATGAATGCGGTTTCGGTGGGAGAGCCCACTGATTCCCAATCGAATCTCTGGTTTAAGACATTCTTCAACGCTTCATTTTTCAGTTTGTACGAAATTTCAGATATCCAGTATATTTTCCTGAAGGAAACTACTCACAAGGTTGCTGAAAGCTCTTCGTAAGCCCACGACCGGTTTCGCCCTTCTTGAGACTCATCAGATAGATGTGGTCCATAAACCTTCCGTAGACATTATGTTCAAATTGTAGGAAATCCGCGGATTGCGTTTCAGTGCAAACTAAGTTGGTTTTATTCGGAAATGCGCTAATCATAAAGTTGCTGTAAACTCGTCGACAGCCGACGACCGGTTTAGCCCTTCTTGGGGCTCATCAGGTAGGCGTAGTCCCCGAGTTTCCGTCAACCTTATGTTCTACTTGAAAACAAATTGGTTGGTTTTAACCGTTAGAAGAAACCCTCATGAAAAAATTCTTTTCACGAGTTTCGTGAGAAAACGAATGTGGATTACTGTGGCTAAACACACTCCTCTTGTGTGTAAATAGTTTATTTGCGTGCAGATTCACCTTTACTGACATCAGTCGGTTGTTCCACACCTTGTCCAACATGTACTGGTATTTTGCCCACATGAGGCNCCTTGTCCAACATGTACTGGTATTTTGCCCACATGAGGCGTTACTACCAAATACACTGTCCAATGAATGGTTCTCCGTACTTCGTCCTTGATGGAACAGCTAAGATCAACGACCCGGGTTCGAGCCTAACATTGGCGTCTTTAACCTGACTGCCAGTCCCCACCTTAATTGTCTTTGAACGTGCAAAAAGTGCAATAAACTTGAACGTCACACAACATCCTCACTTCCGACAATTACTTCGTACCAACAGAAAACAAAACTCAGTGTTTACAAGAAATCGATGTCAAAATGCAGAAAAAGATGACAACGGGGAGTGACAAGATCACACGATAAGCTTTCTGTCATAGATTCCAGCTAGTTCACCTAGGAACCTCCTGAAGATTGCTACAATGCAGTTTACTGCCCAACCATCAGTGAAACTTGGGAACTCTTGAAATTTGTTCCAAGAATGGAATTTGACCAGTAGAAGCTATCGATGAGAGTGCGTGCAAACTGCTTGTCCGTCGTGTTCACAGGTAGATCACCATTGTTACAACGACACCACCGGTCTTGTAGAGAAGACTCACGGGAGAGGGCGTTCGATTTAGTGGGAGGCCCCCGACACATGTTCGAACTCTCGTCATACTGCATAATACAAGAAAAAGCACCGTATGTAGATGGTAGCATTTAAGACGATGAATTGAACTCGGTTGTTCTGTGAACACGGAGTGCTC